TAATTTATAGCAGTCTCCACTTCTGACCCAGTAACTCCATCCTGGGGCTCAGGTAGCCAGATTCTTAGTATTCCTGGCCTCATGGTGCTGTTAGTCAACATTGGTAATAAGATCTGATCCATCCATCACTTGGTGGTTGACATACCTGGTGTGTGTAACTGAGACCAGGCTGCCCATGGTAGCAATGTTGCCCTATCTGAAATCTGACCTGCCAGATTTTGAGTTCTACACCACTCAAGGCAAGGACTGGTGTGGGGTGGCGGCACTGATCTCTTCTGAGACCTTATATGTAGCCAGAACCACTGTTCTTGAGTGGTGGGTGCCCTTGAGTTAATTTGGGCCATAGGGAAAAGGTAGGGATTGTGCTTGTGGTGTACTGGCCACCCTGCTGCCCATCAAGGCCCAGTCTCGAGGCGTATGTTGGTGCTGGGGGACTTCAACCTACTTGCCTCAGGGGCTGGATCCAGTAGGGTTCAGGAGTTAATGGCTTCCATAGCAACCATAGGCTTGTCCCAGGTAATCTCAGGCCTGATATACATAAAAAGGACACACATTGAACCTTGTTTTGTCATGATCTGGATAAGAATGGCATTTATATCACCCCTTGGCCCCTTTGTCATCTTACTTCCTAGTTCAGATGAGATTGATGGCCCCCCACAATATCCACAGTGGTCTGCTCCCAGCATCTAATGGATCCAGATAGTTTCTGGCAGTTTTCCTGACAATGGGAGGCCACCCAGGTTCTTGATGAAATTATTCCTGAGAGGCCACTCTCTCTGTCAGCCAATCCCAGTAGGTCTCTTGGTTTACTGAGGACCTCTGAGAGATAAAGCAGCAAAAGTGACACTCAGAATGTTGCTGGAGGAAGAAAAATGTGAATCTAACTAAACATATGTACAAATTCAGGCCTACTCCATGGCAATAAGAGAGGCAAAGCATCTTTACTTCTCCCTTATTGCACCAGGCACCTTGTGTAGGGTGGATATTGAGCCAATATCAAGAGCACCCACCTTTGGGAGCACAGCACTTTGGTAAGAAAGTTGCTTAGATTCTTTGTTGACTTGACTTGGCCTAAGTCTGGAGTAGTGGATGGGGCACTGCATTTCACGTTATCTACAATTCCTTTTGGCCTATGACCTCTGATGAAGTGGACAGGGTGCTTTCTAGAATATCCTCTTCCTTTTGTGGTCTGGATTTTGCCCCTCCTGGCTCCTGCAGATGACCAGGTGGGAGGTGGTTACCTGGATCTGGGAGGCAGTTGATACTTCATTATGGGAAAGTGCGTTGCCAACATCCTTGAAAGAGGCAGAGGTGCATCTCTTTCTGAAGAGCCCCTCCTTGGATCCAGAGGTGGGGTTTTTTTTTAATTAATTTATTTATTATTACATTTTTATGCCACCCATCTCCCCCAGAGGGTGACTCTGGGCGGCTTACAATTAAAAACTGAGACAATAAAAATATAAATACCCCTGATTAAAACACAAATAACAAATCTATAAAAGCAATAGCTTTTATAGTGTTAAATAGTTACCACCTCATTTCCTTTTTAGGGAAGATTGCTGAGACGTTGTATTTGGTGGTGGACCAACTACAAAGCACCCTAGAGAAAATGGATTATCTGGATCCTTTCTAGCCAGGATTCAGGCTTGGGCATGGGTTAGCAAAAGAGACAGCATTGGTTGCTTTAGTGGATGACCTTGTGGGGGGCCTGGACTGGGGGAAAGTGATGATCCTGGTCCTCTTACATTTCTTAGCAGCCTTTGATATCATCAACCATGGTATATTCCTGGGTTATCTGCAGGAGTTGGGGATTAGGGCAGTGTGCAGCAGTGGTTCTGCTCTTTCCTCAGTGGGCCATTCCAGTTGCAGGGGAAGTAGTTGACCTGGTGATCATTGTCTTTACCCTCTACTTTTTAATTTCTACATGAAGCTATTGAGTTCCATTCAATGGTTCAGAGTTTGATATCATCAATATGATGATGCCTAGCTTCACATCACAACTCCAGGTCATGATGGAGATGCTGTTGAAGTCAGTGCCTGGATGCTATGAGGGTCTGAATGGAACAGAAGAGGCTGAAGTTGAACCAAAGCAAGACAGAGTTTTGTCTTCTACTTGTCCACTTGTCTCTGACTGCTCCAGTATTGACACTTGATGGGGGCACTGCCCCTGAAGAAGCAGGTCTGTGAGTTCTCCTGGAGTCCTGGCTCTGGCTTGAACAGCTGGTGGAGGCCATGACCATTGGGGCCTTTGCCAGCTTTGGCTGGTGCACCAGTCATGGTGCTAATTGGGGTGGAAGGACCTCGCTATGATGTCTCAAGTCCTTATTGCTACCTCTTTGGGCTACTGTATCATGCTGTACTGAAGGCTGTCTTTAATAACCACTCAGAAGTTCCAGTTGGTCCAGAATGCAGCAGTCGGTGTGCTAGCTAACAACCAACATTTGGAGTACATTACAGTACACCTTGCTACCAATAAGCTTCCAGGTATAATCTGAATGCTGGTTTTTATCTATAACACCAGGCTACCTTCAGGGCCACATTCTCCAGCAGAATCAGCCTGACCTACTGTATATAATCTTTCCAGGAAAAGCAGCTCATGGTTCCCCACTTTCAGAAGGGGGGGGGCGGTAAGACTAGAAGGTGCTGCTTCTCAGAGGCAGTGCCAGACCTTTGGAACAATCTCCCAGCCAGAATTATTATGTTTTAAATATATAACTTTACTAAAGTTTTAAAGAAGCAAGATGAAAACTAGCAAGAACTAATATTTAGAATAAAGAGAGAGAAAAAAAGAAAAGAGATAAGAAAAAAACAAAGGCAGAAGTGCAGGGGGAAAAAAGAAAGAAAACATAAAGAAGTGACTTCCAATTTTCTTTTACAACAGTCACAAGTACAAATGTAAATTAACCTCTTAATCTATGGTTACAGCATTACTTACATTTTTTCTATAATCTATTTTTTTACTTATCAAAACCATATATCATAATTTCATTTTTTTCTGTTTCACACAAAAAGTCAATAAGGGGTTTCCAGTCAGCATTAATTTTAGACAATGTCTTTTCTCTAATCAGAGCTGTCAATTTGGCCATCTCAGCAAGCCATCATCTTCACCATCCATTCCTCCATTGTGAGTAAAGTCGAATCTTTCCACCTTTGTGCATATAATAATCTCACCACCATTCTCATATATAGAAACAAAATTCCATGGTTTTTTTCTGTTTATCTATCAGTACCAAAAGAAAAATCTCTGGTTTCAATTGTATGTTAATCTTTAAAATTTTCTCTATTAATATATGTAATTCAGTCCAAAATTTTCTAGCTTTTTTGC